TTTTCAAAAATCTGCATAACTAGTATTAAACACAGTAGTAAATGCAGTCATGGTTTGCTGTGAAATGCTCCATCCTGGAGAAGCTTAGACTCTGATTTCTTTACAGTGGTGATAGGAACAGAACCAGGAGTTGTGATGTCTACAAGCTAAATGTAGACACCGTGTGAAGTTTCTTGGGTACTATTTTCATGCAACGTCCTGCATGTCCAGCGTGAATGTATTTTAGAAGTACATTTAAGGTCAAAGCCTTCTTTCAAAACTATCATTAAACAAGGTCTTATTTAGCTTAGCTTCCTTAGCTTTAAGAGGCATGAGATGTCTGGTTCCTATCTCAAACTCTGCAAATCTGACTTTTCTTTAGAATGGAGCATCTCCCATCGAACCATTCTGGATGACTTTTTTTGTTCAATCATATTCATATTTTTCTTGTTTTTTGTTTTTTTTACAGTCTGAAATATTTAAGAGTTTAAAAGAATTTTTGAAAAGTTTGGTTACTAGATTGTAGCCAATATCAATATTATTTAGCGCACCATAAAAAGTGAAACAGGCAGGTTGATTTACAGTGTTTTTGAAATTTGCATTGGTGTCAAATATTGCTTTTGTTCATTTAAACTAAATTTTGCTTTGCATTGTTTCATTCGTTGAATTTATTACAGTGTGTGTGTGTGTGTGTATATGTGTACTTACTACTGGGGAGCTAGCTTGCTAATTCATAATAGAAGCTATGGAACAACAAAAAACACAAAAGTAAATCCCTCAACAATAAATTTACAAATTGAGTCAATTATATGCACAATCATGCAGCATAATAACACATAAAAATAAAATTGAAATGGAAAATAACAGATACTACTAATAATTATAAAGGCAGAGGGAGAACTAATTGAAAAAAAGGCAGAAATGATTTAAAATTTGGTGAAAATTTACATCTTTAAAATTATGACCAGCTTCATTACCACATACACATTCATCTTCATTAGATCTTCCTGGTTTACAGAATATTACTGTAAATGATTCCTTCATGAATGTTAATCTGAACATGGGCAACTGTACTGTGTGAAGATCACAGTCAAAAAGTACACATAGTAACTGACACTGTGCCAGACCACTACTACAGACAGCGCGTGTTAAACGTAAATGAACAACACAGAGAGTGAAAATGTAAAACAATATTAAAAATCCAGAGGAAAGAGGTTCACTGTATTTACAAATCCGCCTTGTAAATGCCGCTCGGTTCTCTATAAAAATACTATTCACATTTCTTTTTTTTTAATAATATCCACAGGTGATTCTCAGAGGATTGACCGTCCTCGTGCCCGTGACCAATGCCCTTGCTGTGTTGGCTCAGATGTCTCTCACATTTCTTGCAAAAAATAGTCCAGGTATTTCATCACTTGGTTGTATTTTACAGTAATGTGTGCAAAATCCAGTGCTTTTGCCATTTAAAAATGTGTCATTTACATAGATGTATGCAGTAGGTGTGTGGTACATATGGCAAACACAGGCCATAAATAAGATGGACCAGGACGCAGTTTTTGTTGTTTTGGCTCAGAAATACATCATCAGATAAAAGCTCTTACTGTCTTGCACATCAAGAGAAGCATGAAGAAATCACAGCCCTTTTCATACATACAGCTGAAATATAAATCTAACACATTTCTGCAAATTTTATTTTATTATTTTTGTTTTATAAATAAATAAATAACTGTGCAAGGTTTGGGCACGATTTCAGTCAGTATTTAGTAAGACACTCTGTTGGGTTGACTTCACAGCCTCCAAATGTTCTTTGTAGCCAACGAACAGTCTTTCTATTCTTTGTTTGTTGATTGATGTTTTACTTGCAGATCACTTCTAGTTCAGAAATATTCTTTTCATAATTTTCAAGTCTGGTGATGGTGCCAAAACCTTAACCTTTTAATTATTGAAGCAGATCAAGGTGGATTTTAATGTATTTCTGGGAACGTTGTTTTGCTGTAATATCCAACCTCTTTTTTCTTCAGCTTCATCACTGACTGTTAATATTTAGTAGAATTCTGTCCTCTCTTTAACCCCACAACATTTCCCGTGTCACAGTGGCTGCCACAATCCCAAGGTGTAATAGATCCACCAGGCCTAACAATTAGCAAGGTGTTCCATTCATCAAATGCTGTTCTCCTTTCTTATTTTCATCAAACATCAAGCCACAGCACCTGTTTCAATAATGCCTCTGGCTTACCTAACTGTAGTAGTGAATACTTCTAATGCTGACTTTGTGATGAGATTACAGTTACCTTCTCATGACCCTTCTATGTAGATGATGTTCCTGTCCCAGCCAAATCTTTGTGGAGGACCTTGGCAGTGATGTGGGGGTTTTACTTTGCATACCTGCCAAGTCTATGAGCAGTTCTATCAGCGAAGTTGTGAGTTTTACAAATCATGCCTTAACTTCACAGCTCTCTTTAACTTCCATTGAAAACTGTAAGTAGGATGTTTAGATATATTTCATAGTCTAAGCACATCATTTATTATGATCTGGAATTGTAGACACCTGACTAGGACTGAAATCTAATGAGTCATATAAGCTTTCAGACCTTAAGAAAAATAACACTAGTTGATCAACTGAACGTGTGTCCAAACTTTTGCATATGCCATATTTTTTTTTCAAATATATTACATTCAACAAATAAATTATATTTATTTACATCTAAATTGTTGATATATGTAATATCTAGGTGTGTTCAATGCAGGTGATGAGTTAACTTCTTTCATTTGGAAAACAACAAAAAGTAATCATAAGCATTCGATTTCTACTGCTGAAAAAGCAGATGAAATCTTTAATGAACTGACTAATTGCTTAGTTATTAAACACTCTAATGAAAAAGAAAAAAAAGATTAATCACATAGCAACTGCAATGCCTGGTCTGCTGTGTGTCACTGCATCATTATTGCTCAGATCCAGCCAAAAAAAAACCTCAGAACTCAGTTGATGGTGCTTCATACAGCATGACAATGAAGAGATTAGCTAGCAGTGCCAAGTAGGTCACCTGACCAGAACCTCTCTAAGGTGCAAATAACTTAATAAAGACAAGACTGATGACAAATGTCCTGAAAACAAGAGAACTGAAAAGGCTCCGTAATACACCCAGCATCTGATGGAGAATGTGGTTCACAGGCTTCAGGCAGTCATTGGATTTTCAAAGTTACAAACATTTTGTGCTAAAAGTTGTCCAAAACATATGTTTCCCTGAAAATGGGGTTTGTGTATAAAAAGGTGTGAGTCCTAGATGCTTCAGCCAAAATAGTTAAGAGTACCTTCAAATTAAAGTCAACATTCTGCACTTATTTCAAATCCAATGTATGGAGCCAAAACAACAAAGGCTTGAGATTGTCCAGTTACTTATAGACAGCATTGTAAGTGTTGAAAACTATTACTTAAACAATTATCTCTTTAAAACCTGTCATGCAGCCCATGACAATTTGTGTAAAATTTGCCTCCCTGCAGAGGTCCCCTATGTACCAGTTCCCAGGGTACAACTCGATTAGACAAAGATAATTGAGAAAACTTTCTTATACCTTATCAACTTCACATTATTCACTTACGATTATGACCTAAAGGACTTGCAATGTAGATTTTAATCATGCACTGTATATCTCATCTAGAAACAGCACATGGAGATAATCTACCTTAACTGTCTTCAACAAAAAAATGTCATCTGCAGATGACGATGGAGTTATACATATTTGACCATAAAGCTTTATTTGGCAGTTAAATAGTTTATGTTCTGGAAGAAGAGGTTACTGGTCATTTCTAGTTGTAAACCCTTGCTTACATCTTCAGAGAAACAAGTCATGAGTCTGGAAAATGGATATAGTATCCACAAGGGAGTTTTTATCCTGAAATTAACCTTGATGAAGGAATATTATGAGTTAAGCACAAAGAAATGCAAAAATACTGTTGGTCTGCTATGTAAAACAAATAAGTCCATGTTTTTAGTACCTGTCCCTATTCCTGCCACAGCACCTTCTTGATGCACCATGACATCATCTTACTTCTTTGTGCTTCTGGTTCAAACAGCTCCACTCTAATTCAGCCTCTTCCCCTGAGATTTAGATATCCATCAATGACTCAACCAGCTTTCACCTTGTTAACGATCCTATGACCTCTTCGTAGAATCTTGGTTCTATATCCTACACCATATACGATAGATTCTTAAACCTACACTGTAAGACTAAAGATGATTGTAGACTCCACTTCTTCAATCTAATATGTTTCAGTGGTCTAAAGCAAAGATCTCTTCATGTTCAAAGAGTTTACTTTCAGAATAAGTTAAGTAAACTACAATATAATCAGTTGTATCCAATAGGAATAGACCACTGTCCTGAGTTGTCTTTGGTAACACTTCCTGCGAATCCTCTATATATAATACATCACAAATGTAAATGTTATATGGCACCCACAATGACTTATAATGTATGTCATAAGCCATTGTAAGTAAACATAGATAATTACAGTTACATGTGCAATACATTATATATCATAAGGCCTTATATTCCTGTTATACATTATATTAGTTCTTGTAATGCCTTATGCCATTTGTTATAAGGCATTGTACATGCTAGATATCATGTAATAAATGAATGCTGTATTATGTATACAAGATTCATAAGGGAAGTGTTACACTACCTTCAAGTCTAAACTTTACCCACAAAATACAGATCCACATTTGAGCACCTCTCAAGGTTTCCATCCTTACTCTCAGCTTGCTCATTGATTAATCTTTTAATGTTTTGATCTGAATGTACATTTTTTTCCCCACAACACCTTCAATTTTAAATATTACATTATAGGTTTCATTTATCTTGAAAGTTTCAGCCAGCAAGCCTCTCAGCAATCTTAAACTCTAGCATTATAGCTGTTTCCACAGTGGAATTTACTGCTGCCATATGTTTGGATTGATGATGTTGGGCCATGTAATATAAAAACATATGAAGGTACTAAAGGAATGCATTCTCTCAACAACCCAATAGACTTGTTTACATTATGGCCTTGTTTTAGTTTCTGCAAAATTGAAGTACTTGGTTGTACAGAATCTGGAATAAAAAATATGTTACAGATTGTTCCAGTGTAGTTATCAATCCATGGGACTTGGCGCTAAATCTCCAAGCCAAGCCAGAAGAAAATCAAATATAATGATGATGTGTTTTTTTTCTTAGCCAGACAAATTTAGTCATCTGAAAGTACACTATAAAATGGTGAACTCTCCAATCTGTCACCACCTTTACAATGTTTTAGAGTTACCTTAGGTTCCAGACAGGATGAAGAAGGAGAGGTACAAATGGCAGGAAGGTACACTTCGTTCTCTGGCTCACTTGGGCAAATATTCTGGGATGAGGTTTGGTTGGACTGACCTACTTTCCCCGTTAAGTCTTATATTTCCTTCCTCAGGAGCATCGACTATGGCACAAGACAGGAAATGGCAAGTTTAGGGTATAAACTTTCCAGGAACTGCTGAGGAAGAAGAAAATATGTTTAAGGTGCTGGTAGGGGAACCAGGCTCTCTGGAATATGAGTGATTTGGGCAATTATACTACAGTATTCCTCTGCCGATATGGTGGTGGAGGCAGAACAGTGCCTGGCTTCATGCCGGATTCCAACAGGTACTCCGGATTTTCTGCAATGCCAGACCGCACACGGCTGTTCTGCTTGTAGAGGAAATTGTTACTGCAGATAAGTGAAGGATCTTGTGGATGCTGTGCGACCTTGGATGGAAGGCTGTGGTGCCAGTACTCTGGATTGTCAAAGGTGTTCTTGTATGTCTTGTCCACCATAATTGTTCCAGTGTGACTTGTTTGGGGCATGCTGCTTTGGTGGGCAACATGGCCCGGGAGGCCAGTGATGCTACTCTTACCAGTGGCTGCAGACTTTGACATTTGAGCCTGCTGGTCTGTGAGACTACCAGGACCAGTATAACCAGGCTGGACTTGGTGGCTGATGTGGCATATTTGGCCTGTTGCAGAAGGATGCCCAGACTTGCTTGGGTGATCAGTAGAGATTCCCTTAACTGAATGGGCATGATGGCCATTCTGACTCATTGGTCCACTTTGAGGAGGTTGAACAGGTGGAATTGCAAAATGAACATGTGCTCCTTGGCTGTGGTGATGGGGTCTCCCTGTTTGGGTGGTGAGGGGTACATGGCTATTTGTAATGTTGGTTGCTGTTAAGGACAGTATAGGAACATGAATTCCATTCTTCTTCAGGGTATCCTGGCTCTTCTCACCTGTGTTGTGGTATAGAGGCTCATTGATGTACTCATCCTCAACCTTGGGCTGCCCATCAGGGGTGCTATGGTAACCCGGGTTGTCCAGTGCATGAATCTCTCGGTTTTTACGGCGTGTGACGAAAGGATTCTCCTCAATGGGATTCAGGTGCTCTGCAGAAATCAACAGACAGGTTATGCTCAAGCCAGGTCAACCTTGATCAGGTTATGCTCAAGCCATGCCAACCAATCTCCCATAGACTTATTGGTTTTTCTTTGGTTCATGGCATAAAGTAAAAAAATAGCAACATAGCTAAAACAGTACTAGCAATCCCTGAAATTTTTCCATACTTTGTCCATATTATTAGATAACAGTATGCCATTCAGTGTCAGAAAACCACTTCGGACACCAAGCAAGGACACCAGGCTGGTCAACTACTTATAGGTGTTAAATTGTGTGAATCTGATTTTTCACAGCACAAAGACAGAATGAAAAAATAACAAATACAAGTCTTTTGAAATTCACCTTATGAAATTCACATGATTCTTATGAATAGTTATTTTATGTTTTTTTTCCCCTTGTTTTGCAAACAAAGGAAAAATTAGCATTTTTGAAGGCTCAGTGTTTTGCAGTTCCCTTGCACTCTCTGCTCTGAGGGTCTCTAAGGCGAGGCCCTTACTCACTGCCAAGATTGAGAATGAAGCAGCCCACAACTTATTGATCTATACGCCTACTCAACTTGACACCAGATTTATGTTCAGCACACATGCATAGTGGTCAATAGTGTATTTTTATCATTGTAACCCTTAGAAGTCTTAGGATTCATTATTGTCGTTTTGCTGTACTATTAAACTGACACCATATAATAAATAACTACATAGTTATAAAAGGAATTATTAAATTATTAAATCTGCACCTGTGGCTTATTCAGTTTGTTTTGAAGTCAACAAATGACAAAAACATGCCAAAAATGTAAATGATAAGTTTTCATTCCACAAAACAAGACACAATAATTCATCAAATTCAAATCACAACAAAATATCTGTTCTTCTATTTACAGGCACAAATGTTTCATAGATTGAAAGGTCAGAATCTACACTTCCCAGAAAATTTCCCTGCTTGTTTCAACAAGCTACAATTCAAAACTAATTCCTATAAAATGTAAATAATTTCAGTATCACTGGTCATAACTGAGACTTCTTAGGGTTATACAGTGGGTTACCAAAAACGAGGACAAGGCATTTTCTGAAAGTCACCTGAGGAACTCTTGTCCTTCCGGGGGGCCACATATCCATCCTCATCAGTGCCCCCCCTCTGTGTTATCTGTCCCAGGAAGACAGTAGGGTCAGCGCTGTAGCGCTGGCCACAGCTGTCCTCCACAAGGCCAGAGCCGGGCTGTTTCTTCAGGCTTCCGTTACAGTGCTTTTCCTCCTGGGAATCAAGTGGCGTCCGCTGGGTCCCTGCTGGGTTGGATGGTCCGCCAGAGGAGACGGCAGCCCCTACTATCTCTTCAGGTGGAATAGCTCCATCACGGTATCCGCACTGATTCTAATCAGGAGAGAGAGAAGGTGTTATAGTGCCATAATACCTCCCGCTATCAGTTTTATTAAGAGTGTATACGATGGTGTATGTAGTTAAACCACTGAGGAAAAGGAAAGGGACACAGAGGTCACTCTGCCTGTGCTAAACTCTTTATCATCGACTAATACTTTCTTACCCTGTGGGGTTTTCCTACAGAACAACTTAAGGTGGATTCAAAAAACAGTCCAACTTCACAATCATTCTTTAGGAACAGACATATTTGGCTCAAAAAGAATTAAAAAGAATGATCATTTCCAATTGGTGGGTGTTTATCTAAAGGAGGACCTGACTGATATTACATGGAACCAACATTAAGGTTCCACATTTTTATGATATCGGTCGGGCCCCCATTTTGAGATATTTCTTTTGCACATATCTACATACTCACATCTTGCAGTGGTGCTGTAGTGAATCAGAGACACTTTTCAATATTAATATTTGGACCCCGCCCCCCTTCTGTTTGTGTATCTACTGTATTGGGGTGAATTGGCACACATTATATATGTATATATACTACTTCTAGGAAGCCAAATATCAGTAACACTTTACTTGGAGTCCACTTTAGATGCTTTGTAGTTACTTAATTTACTTTCTAGTTACATTCAACTAAATATCTACTAAATTGACCATAATTTTCTTTAACTCTAAACCTGGCCCTAATCCTAACCCTAACCTCAACCCAAAACCTAAACCCAACCCTCACCTTGGTCGTAGCCCTAACCCTGGTCGAAATCTTAACCCTAAGCCCACCACTGTTTAGAATCAACCAAGTTTTTACAGATACTGTTGAACATCTGTAGATAATCTATAGGTGACTATATATAAAGTGAGACCAAAATATCATATCACAGCCATTGAACTGAGGTAATCGCCTTTAATTCATCCTTACAATGGAAAGAGTAAATAACTCAAATCTCAGAAATAACTAGTCAGATAAGAAGGACCCCAAGCTAAAGTTAGCAAGTTGTCTACCTGGCTGTCTAGATTTCTTACCTCAGTTTGCTTTTCTCTGGCTGAAAGTGTAAAAAAGGATCTCTTGGGTCAGTGTTGTGCTGAGTAAAAATAAAATCAGTGTTTTCTTTATGTTTTTTTTAATGACAAAGGTAAGGGTTACACTAGTGCTAGCTTGGTTGTATTTTTAGCCTATCAGCAACCAAGCTAGCACTCATGATTGGTTGACACCACAGGCATTCCCAGTTGTTTGTATGATGTATTTGCTTAATGACATTGACACTTTCGGTGACCAAAGATGAGCCATGAGATAGAGAATAGATACTGAACTGTTGTATATGATAGTTCTCACCCGATTAGAGTCCAGATGAAGTCTGGGTGGATAAGAGGAAGCAGAAGGATTAACGGTTTGAGGTACCAGGTACTCCTCAGCATCCATCAGGTCTCCTAGGTCATCCTCATCCAGAAGACTCTGGAAGAATTTACTGTGGTTTGGACTGGGCAGCTTCATGCAGTCGTCCCCCTAGGACAAACACAGCCCAATTACTCTATGCCACCGCAAAGAGCTAAGAGGACACAACGGTTCATTTTTTATGCAGGGACATAACAATAAAGGCATTCATCATGTCTGTGTTTATCTCCCACCTGGATGACGAGGTACCTCTGAGGGTCTCTGGCCATCCTGCTGAATTCTGCAGCGAGCTCTTTAAACCTGGGTCTACTGTCAGCATCGATCATCCAACCTTGAGGATGGTGACACAGCATGAGGAAAGAAATCACAAAATGAAGTAGAGCAACACATGAGCCTATAAAGTTATATATAGATGTTGTGCAAATTAGATGACGTCTGTTATAAATAGCTTATGTTTACACAAAATGTGGGTTTAAAAGGCCTTAAATAATGAAAATATCCCAAGAATAATGTTTTAGGGAAAATTTAATCTGAAGGCTAGTTAAATAAGGACTCTATAACATATGCATAAGCATGGAATAACATATTTACAAAGCAATACTTGAATATTTACGCAGGTAATCACAACATGTTTTATGATGGAACTGGCATTGTATTGACATAAGAGGCCTTAAGTGCTAAACATTTGCTCCATTTATAACCCTGTTATAATGCATCATTCTCAAGAACTGGAACAAATTTTAAAAATTAAATACAAGCAATTTTTGTACTTTTTGCTTTAGTAGAAATATAAAAAGGCAACTTTTACTTTTACTTGGGCAATATTTTACCAAGGATCTTGCTATTTCGTGTCTAATTAGTTGGGAATGATGCTTCGTAACAGTGTTATAAATGAAACAAATGTCCTTCACTTTAGTTTAAGGGCCCTTATGTCATTTCATAAAACAATGCTTATGCGTGTGCTATAAAGTCGTGATGTAGATAGCCTTCCAATAAGATGCTACCCTGTATTGTAATTACAACATACTCTAAGAAAAAAAACAGAAAAAAAAAAACATGCTAACACATCAGTTCCAAATGTTCAGCTGGCATCTAGGGTCAAGGTTTGACCCAAATTACTGAACTGGTGACAGTGCTGCTGTACAAACTATTCAATCCCTGGCAGGCATTTGCATGCTACTACCTCACACTGTTGTGATCCTCATTTCCCCGCAATTAATTCCTCTCAAAGCTCACACTCCAACATTTTATCTAAATGAGCAGCAATTACTCAAGCAATCAAACCGAATTTCATCTCTATCAATATTTCACTATCCATGTGCTTATTACTGATACAGCGACTCGAATCACAAACAACAGCTTGCGGTCAAAATGTAATTAGAATTAATGCGTCTAATCTTCATCTCTTTTCATGTGCCTTTTGATTCACCCATGTTTGGCTCTGGCTTAGAAATTTCACAGCTGACCCATATGCTGATTCCAGACCCTCCTCTTTTTCAACAGTCTACAAAGAAACTGTGAGAAAACAGCAAAGTTCGTGCTTAAAAAAAGCAGATTTAACCATGGAAACCATGGACTCACATTTGACCATAACCATGTAGACGTCTATGGTACATATCGGCGGTTGAGGCAGACGTTCTCCTTTCTCCAGGATGTCAGGAATCTCACGGGTGGGAATTCCATCGTATGGCTTTCCTCCGAATGTCATCAACTCCCAAATGGTTACTCCTGAAGAAATTGATAACACAAATGCAAAAATGTATAACTTCAGTCTTAAGTGCCTTGCGCAAGGACACAACCAGGTATATCCAGTCAGACCTGACATTTGAGCCTACAACCTCCTGGTTTCTAGCTCTTCTCTCTTACCATGAACCTAAAGAGCTGCTCTGCTAGTTTCTATTTCTAACAACTGACCGAAGCCTGGTAAGACTACTTGGCTTGGCTTTGTCTACTTAGATACCACAGAAGAAAATAAAAATCTGAGTGGACAATTTTCCACTGGGTGTTCAAGAGTTTAACCATATTGTTACCAGCCAAAACTTGCATTGTTTAAATACAAGGATAATAAGTCTGTTAAATAAGCTTACAAGGCTTTCATTAGGCCTTCCCCAAAAGCCTACAAGGTCCTGAAGGTTCCCTACTGAGACCTACTACATAATGATGCTAATAAACTCAAAAACTAGGTAACTGATAAACCTTTTGAATAAGGAAGTATACTTGTCTATACCCAATACATTCATGATTTGAATTACTTTCTCAGTGGATTAACAACAATTTTCAATAGATTAGACACCAATATATTCAATAATGGTAGACTGGGATCAACTGTGCACGCAGTACATAAATAGTTAACGTATAAGCTTACAGTTTAATAGTACTAGTGATAAGTATTTCCCTTACCATAACTCCACACATCACTCTGGTGTGTGAACTTTCTGTAGTGAATACACTCCAGTGCCATCCACTTGATGGGCATCTGTACAAGAGTGGAAGGAAGGAAAAAAGTACTTACATTTAAGCAGGAAAAGTGATTAAAGCTAAACATCATTGCAGTTTACACTGGCCACTTTACTGGAAACACTTGGACCTCATAAAAAAGTACAAGAAAGGTGTTTCTAATAAAGTTTATGATGGATATGCTTAATAATGGTTGCACCTGGAGTTTTCCATAAGAATATCATTGCTGTCGTGAGAAAACCTCCAAAATGGCAGTTTTGCAGGAGAAGGAAAAATGTTCTGAACATTTGATGGAAGCTAATTTGAACCATTTTTATTGGTCCATACATCAGTGTAAAGGGCAGCTGCTAGTTTCAACTGATGTTAAAAAATAAAGTGTCAAAAATGGAGATGGAAGGTTTGGTCTCGACAGCACTGATATGCTAGTGTGGCTTGAAGTGGGCCTACATCATCTACGCTAGGTGTCAGGTGGTATGTAAGCTTTCTGACCTTGCCTCCATCAGCATTGTACTCCTTCTCATCAGCGTCCAGCAGGCGAGCCAGCCCAAAGTCAGTGATCTTGATGTGGTTGGGAGATTTCACCAATACATTACGGGCAGCCAAGTCCCGATGGACCAGTCTCCTCTCCTCCAAGTACATCATCCCCTGCAAAAGTACAAGCCATAAGGAATGAGAATATTCTGGCGTTCTTATTATGGTCATCGTTGTCACCGTGGCTGCTCATATTACCACATATTTGATCACATTTGATTGGAAGCAGCTCATAAAACACTATAAAAGGTCATTTTAATTCTTCACAAGTATGCATATTCTTCACAGATATGACCATGGCAGAAGCTGAAAAAGTAGCCATTATCTCTGTTCCAGCCTACTGGGAATAAGAAGAGCTAACCGCACCTACTTCCCACTTCTTTCTTTCACCTTATGGGTACACCACTGAGTGAGTGCACCAGGTTTCTATATTAGGTCCTGTCATATTAGATTCTGTCCCAGTAGACAAGCTGCAAATCTGTGCGACACCTAATCAGAATGTGATGACATCTCCTTGCACCTTGCCTTTTCCGTTCACTCCAATCTAACCTCTGCAGGTATGGACGTGTCCTAATCTATGATTTATAGCTTTACATTAATCATCGGTTAGTATGGGTTTCAGCAAAGCACAGTATACACCGATCAGGCATAACATTATGACCACCTCCTTGTTTCTACACTCATTGACCATTTTATCAGCTCCACTTACTATATAGGTGCACTTTGTAGTTCTACAGTTACAGACTGTAGTCTGTCTGTTTCTCTGATACTTTGTTAGCCCCCTTTTACCCTGTTCTTCAGTGGTCAGGACACCCATGGACCCTCACAGAGCAGGTACTATTTGGGTGGTGGATCATTCTCAGCACTGCAGTAACACTGACATAGTGGTGGTGTGTTAGTGTGTGTTGTGCTGGTCTGAGTGGATCAGACACAGCAGTGCTGCTGGAGTTTTTACACACCTCAGTGTCACTGCTGGACTGAGAATAGTCCACCAACCAAAAATATCCAGCCAACAGCGTCCTGTGGGCAGCGTCCTGTGACCGCTGATGAAGGACTAGAGGATGACCAAGACAAACTGTGCAGCAGCAGATGAGCTATCGTCTCTGACTTTACATCTACAAAGTGGACTGACAAGGTAGGAGTGTCTAATAGAGTGGACAGTGAGTGGACACAGTGTTTTAAAAACTCCAGCAGCACTGCTGTGTCTGATCCACTCGTACTTAAACATTGCTACACAACATTGACATAACCATGCCGTAAATGTGTCATGGTGGATGTCACATGCACTCATGGGTTGCCATGAGAGACTGTACTCAGCAACATTCTGGTATCATATTACTGTTACTGGTAATTATCATGTTCATGGCAAGGGTTATGTCAAAGTAATGTAGCCGAGCTCAAGTGCTACCCAATAAAACAAACTCTGCTCTTCATCAGGACAGAAAGTCCCTGAAGAGCGTTCAAATATTTGTTTATTTGTTTTTTTTTAAATTGGCAGAGCTCCACTTTTATTAGCGTTAGAAGTGTGGCTTTGTCAATTTTCAAGACAATTAAATTCCCTGAAAATTGACGCCCTGCCAACACATTAATGTTTATTACTTACATCAATGAGCTAAGCTGGAAATTGAGGTCTGCTGGGAATGGAGTGGGACTGAACCAGCACAGTGAAAAATGTCTCATTTACCACTCAGTCAAATAGTTGTGTAAACTGAGAACTAAATAAGTACATAAATAAATAAATAAACAAATAAGATCTGAAACTTTAGTTTTATCTGGGGAAGAAGAGATTTCTTTGAGAACAGTGTGAGCATTCAAGTATTCAAAACAATGGCTGTTGACTGACAGTGGAGATGCACTGTTGGCCTCAGGAAATTTGTTTCATTCTGGCTGGACATTCGGCTAGCAGCACTGTTAAAAGAGCTCAACATTTTAACAATTGTCTGCCAAATGCTGTAAAATGTAGACTGTATTACAGCATTTGGCAGACAATCGTATCTAAAATAGCTTCCAGTCTAATCATGTTAGAGCGCTAAGCTAATGTAGCTTTAGTAGTCATGCTCAGAGATGTTTACTGGTACAGCATGATGTGCCTGCCTGAGACGAGAATCAAACCCCGGTCTGCCGGAAAGGCAGATGTGTCACCTGCTGTGCTATACAAACTGCATGGCAGACAGCAGTTACCTTTGCACTACTGTGTCTAATCCACTCGTACCATTGCAACACACACTAACACGCTACCACTACATCAGTGTTGCTGCAGTGCTGAGAGTGATCCACCACCTTAATAATACCTGCTCTGTGGTGGCTCTATGGGGTCCTGACCACTGAAGAACAGGGTAAGATGGACCACAGTCTGTAATTGTAGAACTACAAAGTGCACCTATATAGTAAGTGGAGCTGATACAATGGACAATGAGTGGAGATGCAGGAAGGTGTACTTAATGAAGTGGCCACTCCGTTTCTCAGTAGCTGCCCATCCACTGTAAACCTCTTTGTTGCATGTGGGTCTGTGTTTGTTACAGAACCACTTTGACAATCACCTGAGTCTACACAGCAAGCAAAACCAATGATTTGTGGTTGGTTAGTTGGTTGGCATGTCAGTCTCATGTCCCTTTTATGTCAAAGGAGGTAGTTCTTAGTCACACTCTGAAACCTAATAGAATCTCTGACTATAACAATGATAGCCTTGTACCAGTGTAGTATCTGTATGTAATAATACTATGCTCTAAACAACATATATATGCCATAATAACAACAACAAATAGGTCCATTGTGTACTCTATTGGTCCATACATCATGAAAACTCCACATAATGTAAAGGACATTTTCAAAAGATGTAAAAACAACAAAAATGGATGTACATGGTTTTGTTTTGACAGTGATGATATATAAGTACTCATATTTAAGACCAATTCCCCCTATTTATGCTAAAATATGTAAGAATCTGTATTATTTGTACTGGATATGTATTACCTATATGGAATAATAATAATATCCTATACATATTATTAAGTACCCCTGTGTAATAATAATATACCGAGCGTTCTGTGGGCAGCGTCCTGTGACCACTCATGAAGGACTAGAGGATGACCAACACAAACTGTGCACCAGCAGATGAGCTATCGTCTCTGACTTTACATCTACAAAGTGGACTGACAAGGTAGGAGTGTCTAATAGAGTGGGCAGTGAGTGGATACAGTGTTAAAAAACTCCAGCAGCACTGCTGTGTCTGATCCACTCATACCAGCACAACACACACTAACACACCACCACCACGTCAGTGTTACTGCAGTGCTGAGAATGATCCACCACCCAAATAGTACCTGCTCTGTGAGGGTCCATGGGGGTCCTGACCACTGAAGAACAGGGTAAAAATAAACATGCATCTGTTGCAGAATGCACTTTTCAAATTCAGGAATATTTTCTTGCTCCTGTAGATTCGCCTGCCATCCTGTGCACTGGTGGGATTGTCTTGAAAATGTACAAAAACAAACACGTACACATGACACCACAACCCCTCATTGAATCATAGAAGAGCAGAATTCATTATCAGCCAACACAATAACAATATGGACTTCCACAGCCTGTTTGCACACTCACTCCAACATAGATTCCGAGCTATTTTATCAATCTGAAAACACATGCCTTTGAAGTATTTGTTCAACAAATTGTATTTACCACCATTTACTGGCAACGCATCTGGTTTCCAGCCAATACAATTACAATAGCGTCAGAGAGAGTGAGAGGCTCTAGAGCATGCCACCGACAGTACATCTAAAAGAGATTACTTGAGGACACTGGGCAGCCAATCAATAGAGATGCAGTAATAAAGACATGCTCCGGATATCTGGAGCGTGTAAGGTTTATCCTCCTGCTTGAGAGTAATTAGGAGCGCATGTTAATGGACTTGATCAATGAGTGATAAAAGTGGTGATTATTAAACGAGAAAGCACAGGCTAGATGAAAAAGGCAGGAAAAAATTAGTACAATTTAAGACAAAGGTAGCAAAATGTATAACAAAAACTATAAAATAAGTTAGGACAGCAACTACAACTACTCATAATTCTTTTAATAATCATAAGCAAGCCCATGCACATACATTTACTGGGGCAGATATTCAAGGGGCAAAAAGGGGCACTCAATTGTAACGAACCTTAGAGTCGCAACTCTATTTAAGAGCTCCACAGAGCCTGTCATGAATCCCAGAAACTGAGATAAACAAGTTATTAGCATGCCTTACTATTGATATTTTGGAGGTTGTTCAAATTAAGCATAGTATGCAATGTGACACTGTCTTAAAGAGTTTATCAGTGTTTTACTATGAGGGACTACCAATTCAGTGGTGGTACTGCACCTGAGAGGGGCGCTCAAGAGTGATGAAGCTGACCCACTAGCTCTATTCCTGGGCCGAGAATGAGCTGAGATGCACTATAAGGGATGGCCAAATTAAACACATTTATTGCACATACCAACAAAGAGGGCACCTGTACAGTGTTAAAAGGGGCAGGGGCTCAAGGCCCCCTTTGGGGGGTCATTTGTGCACATGCTTGATGATCCATCATAAGACAAGTGTTCAAAAGTAAGCGAGATGATTATTTACATTATTTACAACACAATAGAAAAATCGTTAGCAATAAAAGCTGTTACCACAACTATTGTGACTCTCAAGTAATTAAGAGCCTAACTGCAAAACAAACACTTTAAAGCACAAAAACCACTGAGAAGCATCAAAGCCGCATCGAGAGGCTTATAGAGATCAAAGAAACTGCGGCCACACTATCATGTTCACTGCACGTATTTTGCTAAAGCAAAAAGAAAGAAAGAAAAAAAAAAATGTAACAGTTTTTATGCAGGTCCAATGCTCAGTTAAGACACTGCCAGCCTTTACTGTGGCTTGGCATTGCAAACCCATCTACCATTCTACTGTTGAGCCGGCGGCGGTCCTCCATGCCGCTCCATTTGAAATGAGTCGGATGAAAGGCTGGGTTACCCGAATCAAAAGCCACTAAAACCAATTAGCATAGCAGGCTCTTTGCATGTTGGCCCAAGTAGCAGCTCTGAGTGTTGGCACTGGTCACCTCCCAGATGGGGGGGCTGTGTTGTGTTACCATCCG